CAGGCAGAGAGAACAGACAGCGGTAAGCAAGATGACGAGGTGGTCCGGTACGCAAGCTTGAAAATTAAGAGAAAGGCACACTAGTCAGTATACACTGCTATAACCATAGCACGTACCACCACAGTATGTACTGCTGTCGTGAAAGCAGGTTCCACCACAGTATGCACTGTTGTAATCATAGCAGGTACCACCACAGTCAGTATGCACAGCTGTAGTGAAAGCAGGTACCACCAAAGTCGGTATGTACTGCTGTAGTCATAGCAGGTGCCACCACTGTCAGTATGTACTGCTGTAGTCATAACAGGTACCACCACAATATGCACTGCTGTAATAGCAGGTAGGACCACAATATGCACTGCTGTAATAATAGCAGGTACCACCACAGCAGTATGCACTGCTGTGATCATAGCATGTACCACCACAGCCAGTATGTACTGCTGTGATCATAGCAGGTACCACCTCAGTCGGTATGCACTGCTGTAGTGATAGTAGATACTGCTATCGAGTTGGTAGATACTGCTATATAGAGTTAGTAGATACTAAAACAGTCAGTATATATCACTACAGTCAGTCAATACTGCTACAGTCAGTATATACTACTATACAGTCAGTACATACTTCGACGGTGAGTAGCTACTAGAGTCAGTAGATACCACTATAGAGTGAGTAGATAATGCTATAGAGTTAGTAGTTACTACTATAGTCAGTGGATACTACTATAGTCAGTGGATACTACTATACAGTTAGTTGTTACTACTATAGAGTCGGTAGATACTACTGTAGGCCCAGTAGATAGTACTACGTTCAGTCGTTACTACAATCAGTAAATAATACTCCAACAGTCAGTAGCTACTACTGGCCCAGTAGATACTACTGTACAGTCAGTAGATACAACTACAGAGTCAATAGATACTACTTCCTCTGTTGTATGTAGGGTGTGTAGGTATATATACCTACACGGGGGTAAAGATAATTTTTTGAGGGGGGGTGTCCACAATTTTCGGAAACCTTTTACATCAACTATTTACCCCACAATTTCTACAACTTTTTGGACTTTTGCAAGCTTCTTATAATTTTGTTGGTGGAGAAATGTACAAACGGCCCACCGGGCTTTCACAATACCTTAGTATCTGTGTGTGTATATGTAAGGTTTTTAAGAGAAGTTTTGAAATATATTTTTCACCCAGGCAACGCCGGGTACTTACCGCTAGTGTATATATAAATGCATAGTTTAGTCCTTAGTGTCTACGCGGCGCTTTTTGGCTTGTCTCTTGTATTCATTAAATTGAGCATCTCTTGTCACTGTCCATCAATAGTCTGCAAGCATTGATGGGCTCCATTTTCCCTGATAGCGTTTCTCCATTGTTGCAATGTACTGGTGAAATCGCTCGCAATGCTCCGCTCATTGCTCCACAATTCGGAGGGAAAACATCTAGATGAGAGTGCAAAAAAAATATCTTTAGTGACATGTGGCAACCAAGGCTTTTGTGTGCCTTGAGGTTTTCCACCAACTTCCCTGTAGTGGTCTGCCTTGTCATTTCCGAGCAAATTTGTGGCCACGAACTGGAAGGCTTTCCATGCCGTCTTTTCCTTGCCACGCAGGGCACTGTCAAATGCATCATCTCGAGAAAATTCACGCATATGAGGCCTTCCATTATCTTAGCTTCACTTAACCATGGAAATTTTCCACAGAGGTACTTGAAAGCCGCTTGTGTTTTGTCCATAGCTTTGGCAACGTTCTTTATCAGACCCAGCTTGCTGTGTAAGGGTGGTAACAAAATCTTCCTTGATTCAACGAGTTGTGGATGCTGAACACTTTTTCTCACAGGCTCAAATGACTGTCGGAGTGGCCAATCTATCTTGATGTAGTAGGAATCTCTCACACGACTATCCCATTTGGAGAGAAAACAGCAGTACTTTGTGTATCCAGTCTGCAGACCAAGCAAGAGAGCAACAACCTTTAAATCGCCACAAAGCTGCCACTCTCAAACAATGAACTGTGATAACAAACATCAGCCACACGCTCTGTGATATGGCTACATTTGCCCTCGTCCCCCCATCTCCACCCCCAAAGCCCATGTGTCTCCTTTATGACCCTAATTATGACAACTAAGGCCGTTTCATCTGGGTTCTTGTTGTCTTGCTCATATTTGTCTTGTGTTAATAGGACCAGAATTGAAAAAGAAAGTAGATGAAGTTTTGAACATTGTAAAGGAATTGAAAATCTGCCCAGGTAAGATGGTGCTGTTAATATAGACATGTTGGTTTCTCCACGGGAAGGGGTTTCACACTGTTGTAAGGGATATCAGGCGAAGGATTCCCACCAAAAGAAGGGGACAGTGGGACGGTGACAGTGGAAGGGGGAGGAGCAGGCGAGGAGATATAAGAGGGAGACCTGGTGGGGAAAAGGGGGAGAACGGGCAGGAAACGAACAGAGAAGGCTGGGGACAAGTGTGGACTGCGGGAAGCAATCAAAGACGACGAACCCCCTGTCACGCACATACACGATGCGAGTGTAACCCTATTTATGCTGTTTTGACACAGACAGAGTCGTGAGTGTGAAGTACATATTCCATAGTTGAAATGCTCTCTTTAACATGCAATACCGTTTTGTGATAAACACACTCGCATCGCCCGTGCATTTGCAAAGGGTTACACACCTGCGGTGGGTGGGGGAGGCGTTGCATCTGCACAACACAAGGACAACGTGAGATGTGGGTGACGTCATCACACACTTGCCCTTGCGCCAGCCAACCAGAAAAACCTCTTCTACTATACATATAGTTATGCTTAAATATTCTAAACTATGTGTGGTGGGTTAAATTCAGGGGCCCACTGTACTTTGGAGGCAAAAATATGTATTATCTAAAGACGACGGGCAACTTTTAACATTAACAAGATAACGACATAGGGTGGTAACCACCATTCATAACTTAGCTAACACATGGGGATACTACATTTCTGGACCGGAGACCGAGAATCGTAGATAGTGGCTTCATCACAGAGTTGAACAGCAGAACAGCACAGAACAGCCCAGCTCTCTGCCAACACCCCACTTATAACCACTTCCGGCGTGGCTGGCCCTGCCCCAGGCCACGCCCCCCTTCCGGATCCTTCGGAGAGGCCCAAACCCCAACCACGTGACTCCCTGGGGCCCCTGGCACCCTTTTATCTGGTCACGTGTCCTGTTGGGTTCACGCAGAGTGTCACGGCCCGACACAACCCCCGTGACACCTTCAGCTTGTCTTCAGCTTGTCTTCAGCTTGTCTTCCCTGAAACGCCCCCTTCCCTTGTTCTAGTCCCCTTTCTGGAATGTTCCCTCTGTCTCTGTATTTCTCTCAGCCAATTCCTGTCATTCCCCTCTAACGGATCCCTACTGTCGCCTCTAGGTTCCACTTTGTTTCCCGCCTATTCTCCTTTAACCCCTTTTCTCCAATCACTTTAAAAGCCTTCGTCCCGACCAACCCCTGTGGAACCACTTTGGTCCAATCAGGAACCTTGGTTTATTTTCGAATAGCGTTTGGCTGCACATAGGCTTGGGGTTATTTTCCGGTCATTACATATACATATGTATATCACGCTTTTTTGCAAAATGTGAAAGCAGATATTCCAAGGGCGTAAAATTCATTCAGGGAACATCGTCGGCTGCAGTGGCGCGTCGCTATTTGTGAGCAGGCCGGAGCGGCGTCCCAGCCCGCAGAGTGTGCAGCAGAACAAGTCCCCTCCATGGTCAAGACTCACAGGCCGGGTGAAGGGAACTCACCATAGATTCGTGACGTCACGCTGTACAAACGTGACATCGTTTTACAAAGTTAAGCGAAACTGATATCGTGATAATCGTCACATCGTGACATTTAATCTTTCGTATTATGAAAAATTATGTTGTGTAAACTCTAATGGATAGCAACGATGCAATTTAGACTTACAATCTTCCCCAATCCAGCACACCAGAGAGTAACATCCTCGTCAATCATGCCCTGTATCTCTTGTTGTAGTTCGCGTTCACTGAACTTTCTTTAATATAAGTGTAATCCCACGTAAATAGATCAGTGGCACACACACTTCTTCCGCCGATATTTAACAAACTAACTTTTCAACGGCGCTATCACTGATGGATTTCTATACAATACTGTTAGCCTCTATAACATACATCAGTGGAATAGCATTGGTGCAACTCTGCTATTCAACCTATCAATAAACTTCCAAGGACCTCCGTCTCAGTTTGGATCACTTGTATCATCACTACTGCTGTCCCTGCAGACACTTTCTGTATCACTTCCAACACAGCAGCTATCACAGTCGCTGCCCTGGCTAAGCAATCATTTTCACAAACTTTATTGAGCTAACTCTTCTGTACTTTCTCGAGTGCGGGAGAGCTTATCTTGCTGCTCTTGTTCGCTCCTGGTTCTCCGGCAGTCTATTGCTCTGTGCACACTCCTGTTCTGTGTTCAGTCCCATCTTGTATAGCCCCAGAGCCCAAAAAACACTTTCGATTCGCTCATTTGCATACTCCCATGCCTTGCTATATCATCACCCAATTGGTTGTCCTACCTTACAAATGGCTATGTTTCCTTTTCTCTTATTCTCACAGCTTTACCTGATTGGACACCATTTGGATCCTTGCCATTAATCAAACTGCCAACTCGTGCGTTGCGGCACTTTGTAGCTCGTGTGCGGTAACCTTTCCCCTTTCGTCTTGCATTTTATTGAACGAATGACCTCCCATGCAACACCAACACCGTGCAACTGAAAGCAGCACCTTCAGCTCCTCAACCACACCATGCTGCAACATCATCATTATTCGACCCACAAAACGAGGTCACAAAACTTGCACTATGATAAAAACTGTTAATGGTAAAATCATCCTGAGCTGTCATTTTATTTTTGTTTCTGTGCTCTTTTTGTTTTAAAGTGATAAAACACCAGCATACGAAAGGTAAACGTAGGATCTCCTGTCTTTGATGCTCGTATTTCTAAATTACAACCTCTTTTGCAGCTGTAACTACGCCATGGTTGAGCTCCTGGAAAGGCTAAAGAAAATTATGACTTTTGTTGATTCCACGTGGGAGGAGAAATTTGCCCTGAAAACAGCTTTTGTCAAGAATGGTGGCCCAGGTTTGTATTAAGAGTACCGTGTGTACGATATATCTATGCAGTTGCATTACACGCGTTAGACCAGCATATATCTAATATATAAGTCACAGGGGCAGTCCCCGCCTGCCCGCCTGCTCAGTACTCTACCCACACGCTGTGTTTTTAGGCCTCTTGCCTCTTATTCCGTTTAGTGGAGTAAGAGTCTGCTGTGGTGTGCCACTTCCCTTGATGCCATCTTTCAGGAAATGTCGATACTTTGCATTGATGTAAATGAGTGTATGCATATGTGTGGATGTTTGAAGATTTTGTTTCAAGCTCAATATTTACCCATGGAAACTTGTATTGCAATGAAAAACTATAAGCTTACTTAAAATGTTACATTTTTCTCAGGACAAGACCATGCAACATACAATGTTCAACTATAATTGGGCTAAATGCATATAATTTGCATTATGTTTGCATTATCGTCAATAATCAATTGTTTTATATATATAAAAAAACATTACCACATGAAATATTCCTGATAACTATCGAGAGTGTATGCAATTGGAACAAACATATAAAATGGAACACACGTGTTGATCTTGTGCTCCTTTGATAACAAGTCTGGTACCCTGTGCAGAGATGTTTGAGAAGATCCGGACGTCTGCCTCCCGAGAGGGCTCAGGCGTGCAGCTCCAAGAGACGACAGAGCTCATTGAGGACGTAATGAAGACGTTTACGCCAGAGCATAGTGAGTGCTTCTTATGCAGAGCGTTCTCACTTTTACAAAGGGCACAGCTTACCCAGACCAGCCAGGATGTATTGCTCGAGAACTCAAACCTGTGACAACAAGCTGTCTGCGCTTGAGGCAATACGCCTCACCCTGCAACACAATAAGAAACATCTGCAGGTAGTTGTAGATAAGTTTGCTCCCATGAGAGTCGACTGAGCGATAGCCACAGCACAAGCAGCATGTAGACCTGTTATTCCAGTTGGCATCACTGCACCAAACTTAATATGCCCTGTCTTGAGGATTGTGGGTAATACAATAGTCAATTATGTATGTCTCTTGAGAGTAATATCACACTCTGTCAGACTACGTTTTTTCTGGACCATTATTTTCTAGTGGCATTTGTGTAAATAGGGAAACCCTGCACCAGTTTATGGCAGCTCCAATGAGACAAGGGGATTTGTAATTCTCCTTTCGTTATCTGTGCATGGCCACTGATTTACAAATACATTGCATGCAAGATAAGTATATTCATTGTATCTGCTATGTTAAACTACCTAAGCATCTTGGTGAAATTTATGGGAAGAGAAGCATCTGTGGCACAGTGTACTTGGGCTACTGAGCAATCCAGGAGGTGATCTCCCTGTTATAAATAAACATGAACACTGGTCACACCGACAGCTTTCATATCATTCCCCACTCGCTCCCCTGCCCCTCCTGCAAGAGAGCAGATGCAGTGGCAAGTCCTCATCTCTGTTTTGCAGTGGAGCTGTGTAGGTTTAGCGGCCGGTACATTCACAAAACTGTCATCTAGATAAGCATAGATCAAAACGCAGATACGTCCTGCCACTCCCGTGTTTTGGTAACTTAACACATGGCAGAAGTGGGACAATAGCGTAAGAAGACTCTTGACTGTCACGGCTAAGTGTGCACAGTCCTCGCACTGATGCACAATTCACTACAGCACCTTCATAAATTGAGCCAGAGACACTGTTTCAGAGGCATATCACCACTAGCTGTCATGTTAACCTATTACTCTGCTGCCGGTATCTCTCCTAAGTTAAGGAACTCAACGGAGAAGTGAAATAGTGGTGGCATAGTGGTTTGCATACTGCACTATGAATCCAGTCACCTGAGCTCTATTTTATGCCATGGCAAGCACCAGCAGTTCGTGATATCTGATGCGGTCCTGGGTACCCTTCATTTACCATCCTGCACTGACCATTGTGGCGAAGTATGGTCAAACAACCTCTAGTGACTCAAAGGCAATGGGAGGGCTTAATCCACACGTGGATTGACTAAGACCTGTACATGATTATACGACTTACACATCAGTGTCAGGAAGTGTCTGCGTTCTTTAAACCACAATATTAAGTCTTGACACGTTTACTATAAAACATTAATGTGTAGCTGACTCCTAATATTAGCAAATTTAATTGTTTTCTTTCTAGCATGCCCTAACGCTAGTGCAACTGTGAAATAATAATGGAGAATGGATTCATAATTATTGCTAACTTGCCTGATGTTGTGGAAATTGCCATTTGCAAGGACTCCTCTACTTACGAGCGAGTTAGGTTCCAGAGGTCTGTTCGTAAGTCGATTTGTTCGCAAGTCCAACTAAACTCCTGTCGATTCCAAACATGGTGTACGGCATGTGCACTAATCATGGGGAATGGCTTTAAAAGTTGTATAATCGCCTGTAGATGTAGATGCCACTAGTTATTCATGTTCTTCAGATGTAGATGCCACCACCACCATCTATTGCGCAGCGGTTGAACTAACGACTCTCAGTCCGAACATATAAATGGACATACGGACAGGTTTGTTCCTATCTCTGAAAGTTCGTAAGTCGAGTGTTCGTAAGTAAAGGAGTCCCTGTATAAAGTTTTATGATGCAAGTAAAAGAAAATGGTAGCATCAGCTTTCTTAAACATGTGCTTATCTCAATGCCCTCTCTCTGTTTCAACAGAAACAGGTGTGAAGGACAATACATATCTACTGAAGGAGATAACCAGCCTAAAAAAGCTCTCTACGTAAGGATCCATTCACGAAATACTCAATTATCACACACACACAGTACATCTGTAAGCTGTGGTCTCGGGTGTGGACCAATCAACTTCAAGGACAGTGCATATCATTATCAGAGTTGTTTTCTTTTTGTTTGCATTTTGACTACTTGTGTTGTGGTTATTGCAAACATAATGCCTTGTATAAAGGTGTCAGTTTTTGTACCAGTTTAAAGGGTAAAAACCTACTACTATTTCAATCATCTTCCAATTTACGGCTTTTTATCTACCATTTTTTCTGAAAGTAGCTATCAAGCCACCTTTTTCACAAAATCAGGATGACCAATGTGGGGAAGTATGTATGTTGAACTTCATTTGCACCGTACGTAGCCAACCATTCTATTGGAAGTGGCTATTTACACCATTGGAACCTCATTTGCCAGTAACAAAATATGATAATTTGTTTTTTTACCCTTTTATCTGGCAAAAAAACTGACACCTTTTTTACAAGGAGTCATGTTTGCATTGACCACAATACCTGCAATCGGAATGCAAACAAAAAACATAACTCTGATAATGTATGGTGTCAGTTTTATTGCCAGATAAAAGGGTAAAAATGAGGTTCCAATGGTGTCAATGCTTACCCCGAGCTCTCATACTCTGATGGTGCATTGTCCTTGAGTTGTGCGCCTTTTGGCGTCATCTGGTCCAACACCATGTGAGACTAGGCTCTAAAGAAAGCTGTCTCGGGTGTGGACCAATCAATTTCAAGGACAGTGCATACATTATCAGAGTTATGTTTTTTGTTTGCATTCCGACTGCAGGTATTGTGGTCAATGCAAACATGACTCCTTGTAAAAAAGGTGTCAGTTTTGTTGCCAGATAAAAGGGTAAAAAAACAATTATCGGAAGTGGCTATGTTAATGTGAGAGATTAGCATGTTAATGTAAGAACGAATAGTGGTGCAATCCAAAGGCATGAGAGCGCAATCCAAAGGGCATGTGAGCATGAGAGTGCAATCCAAGGGCATATGAGCATGAGAGTGCAATCCAAAGGACATGTGAGCATGAGAGTGCAATCCAAAGGACATGTGATAGATCTAAGAGAGAGGCACAGACAGACAGATAGTCGGAAATAACAGCTGACATAGGCAGGTAGGATGGAAACATCACAGTTAGGTAAGACTTTACCTGGTTAATAACGTCCTTCCAATGATTGCTCAGTTTGTACCCATCTTCTCGGTTGAAGTTGTGTCTGTGTTTATATATCTGGATGGCTTCATGACCAAATCTGTGAAGGTAGCCAGTATGTTTGCAGAGTACCTCCATCTTGGAAAAAAACAATTTCGTGTGAGCCCACAGTGTTAAAACAATGATCAGCAACGGCAGAGGTATTGGTGCTACCATGTTTCAGATCTGCCTGTGTTCGGGAACGCGGTCTGAGACATGTCGTTTCGTTTCCCCAATGTAACTGCTACCGCAACCACAACTCAGTTTGTAGACACCAGGGTATTGCATGTCAGGAATAACATCGTTTACAGATGGGATTAAATCACGGATTTTGTGTACTGTTTTGAAACAAACCTGGATCTTGTGTTTGTTTAAGATTTTGGAAATATATTTGGTAACCCCTGCTATGTACGGTAAAGTGATGGTTTTGGTTGGATCCTCAGAAGGTTGTCTCCGCATGGCTGGGTTGACAGCTTTGCAGATTGTACAGTCCGAGTGTCCGTTCATCCTGAGGGCTTGGTGTACGTGCTCCAACTCACTGGCTAGGTGGTGCTGGTCAGAGATGCAACGGGCCCTATTGTGTAGTGTTTTGATGAGGGAATTCTTCTGGGCTGGATGGTGGTGGGAGTCAGGCTTTAGATAGGCATCCGTGTGGGTGGCTTTCCTGTGTAATGGGTTCCGGAGACACTTGTAGAGGTAACTTCTTTATTACGATACAACACTCCAACAGTCCTGATACTCTGTTAAGCCTAGGGACACAGCCTAGGGACACAGCCTAGGGACACAGCCTAGGGACACAGCCTAGGGACACAGCCTAGGGACACAGCCTAGGGACACAACCTACTCCTAGCATGCCCGACACTGGCTACGCTCTCGGGTCCTCCGGCTACAATTACCCTAGGGAAGGCTACCTGACCCGACCCAGCCAAGGTGCGGATCTAGACTCTGGCTTCCTCGGAACTCGCCCTTACAAGGACGTAGAGCCGGGAATCCCAGAGTCCCACCACTGCCCCGCACAGCATCCCGGCCCTTACAAGGACAAGCGGGGCGAGGGGATCCAGGGTCCTAAGCTGGCTGGTCTTGGGTCTTGAGCTGCGACTGGCCCCGATCGGCTGGGGAGGTCTTCTTTTATGCCCCTTTGCCCATCGAGGGGAGGCGTTGCGTGGGATCGTAGATCCCCCACAGCCCCCCCCCTTGGCGGTACGGGTACCCTTACAGATGGACCTCGTCTACCACTGCCGGTAAGCGTGGCCCATCTACGGCACTACACCTATAGACCGAATGTCCCAACGAGTCATCAGGTCTCTTGTCGATCAAAACATCCATAAATGGTAGCTTGACATCCTTGTCCACTTCCATGGTAAATTTGATAGACGGGTGTATGGAATTGATGTGGTTGAGAAATTGGTTCAGTACTGGCAGGCCATGAGGCCAGATGACGAACGTGTCATTTACGTATCTCTTCCACAAAGAAGAACGTAGGATAGATGTCTGGATGGGATCTGTCTCAAATTTCTCCATGAAAACATTCGCTACCACTAGCGATAAGGGAGAACCCATTGGGGTACCCTCATTTTTTTTGTAGAATGTACCATTCCAGGTTAAGTATGTGTTGGTAAGGCAGTGTCTTACCAAAGTTGGTACATCTGGATTCAGTCGTTGTTGGACCAAGTCTTCAATGATTGCAATGATGTCAGGTACAGGTACATTGGTGAACAGAGAGACTACATCGAAACTGACAAGCAAATCATCTGGAGACAGTGAGATGTCCTTTATTAGAGAAACCAAGTGAGCTGAGTTAGGTACAGCTGAGGTGGACTTGCCCGTGAAAGGAAGCAGGGTCTCAGACAGAAATCGGGCCAGTTTGTAGGTGGGTGAGTTAATGGTGGAGACGATAGGACGGAGCGGGGTACCTACTTTGTGGATTTTTGGAAGGCCATACAATCTGGGTGGTCTAGCAGCCAAATGTTTTCGGGAGCTCTGCTTGGTCTGATCGATTAGAGAAGTCGATTTAGTGATGATATTGTTGTTTTTTGTGGCTCGGCGGTTGGTGGAATCTCTGTTGATTTTTGGTATAGCTGCCATCATTATGAAGGTCCTAAATTTTGTTGGTGTAAGTGGTTTATCCATGATGACAGTGGCATTGCTCTTGTCAGTTGAGAGGATGACAATGCCATCTCTGTTTTTTTAATTCACAGAGTTCAAAACGCTCGTCCTTGCTGATGTTGCTAATGGGGTTCGTAGCGTTTTTGAGGATAGCAGCGATTTCAGATCTCGTAGCGTCTCCCGGGATGTGTCCCAAGCCTTTGAGGGATACGTAGACCTGGGTAATTATATCATCCACTGGGATGTGTTTAGGGGTGACTGCGAAATTCAACCCTTTAGCTAGCACCGATTTTAGGCTGTCGGAAATTGGGATGTTACTATTGTTGTGTGGGAAGAACGACGCTGAAGCCAGTCGTGTAGGGGCTGACGCCGAACTGTTTATTTAAGGGCTTGCGCCTAACTCGGGGGAAGGGGTTAACACGGTGTATTTAACTAATCTCCCAGGGAAGGGTACTGGGAGTTCCCTACACCCTACCAGGCTATCAGGCTCTTCCCACAGCACTGACCGAGGGTTCATCCAACTCGGCCAGCCGGGTAAAGCAGCCCTTTAGCCTGGCTCTCAATTCCTCTATCTCGGAGACCCCTACTCCCCTACCACGCACTCTCTTGGCTCCCCGCGAAGACCCCGTCTACGTCACGGGTCTTCCCTCAAATACCCCGGGTGGCATCACGTCACTTTTCCCTGACGGCATTCCCCCCGAGGCGAGTGTGACCTGACGTCAACACTATGATTGATGACAATCTTGTTAACATCTAATTTTTTTACGTGTGGCTCTGGCTTCTTTATGACCCTTGGGCTACACCCATTCAAACATTTTAAAACAATCTGCCTCAGCAGCGGATCATGCTTTATTTTATACCTACGTAGCTTGACCGAACCAAAGAGTATGGATTCCTGCAGTCACGGAAGTTTCAAAGCAATTATTATCTCATCTTACATAGAGAAATATAGCACCTTAATCCATGGCGCTTTAAAACATTTATATAAGTGTATATCCGTTGATAGTGGTTGAGATAAATAGTGGGGTTATAAAAAGTAGTTTGTAAGATAATTTGATCATCATCTGTGAAGGGTTTGAGAGTTACCCTCGATTGAGACCTCGGTCTTGATGAATATTTCCTATGTGACTGACTGAGATAATCTCTTTGCTCTATCCCAGTCGTGGTCATCCTCTCCGGCATGCTCCCTCCTTTGGCTGCCATTCTGTCTTGTCAAACAACATTTCCCACAATGTCTTGCCCAACCCTACTTTACTTTTCTTAAGTCAGTATAATGTCTCTAATTTGTGTGTGTTCTGTGATACACGTATTACTCCGTCAGTCGTATAATCTGCAGCATGCATTTCTCCATACCATTTTATTTCATTTATTTGTTAGAGTCCTCTGATCCATATACCATGGCAGGTCATGTGTGCTTATTGAACACTAACTTATTTTGGCACATTGCTTTGTTGATTTTAATCATTCAGTTTTCCCAAGCACTTAGTCCTATTGTCACACACCTCTTCAATGCATCATCTTTTTTTTGGTCTGGCTTCAATAATTGCCCTCTTCATATACTTTTGGTATTCCTATTCTTGGTTCTTTCGGTAAAGTCACGTTGATAAAAACCAAAACAATACAAAAATCTAAATAATAAAATACAATATTAATTCAGTTTAATAAAAAATTAAAATAAATTGAACATAATAA